CATTTCAGGTACAATAATCATATCACGTAAATGTGTTTTAATAGCTTGTGGTTTTTCTAATTCAGGTGTTTCTTTTTTAGCTTTACGTAAACGTTTTATTAAAGCCATTGGTTTACGTTTAAGACCACGTGATAAACGTCGTCGTGCACGACAATGTAATAATAGCATTAATTGTTCATTATTCATATCTAATAATTGATTAAGATCAACACCACGAAATATAAATTTACGAAATGTTCGCTTCTTTTTTAATTCAGCAGCACTTAAACCAGCAGTTTCTTGATCGGCCATTTTTTATATCTATGATAAATAAAATATTTCAAATCAAGATATTTTTTACTGTTTTTTTTCTATATCCGTCAAATAACTTACATAAAATACTTTTTTTTTGTTTTTTTGAATAGAAGAAGAATATCTGAAAGATATTGAAATTTATTTATTGTTTGCATTAATGAATTTAAAAGAAAAAGAGAAAAAACATGTTTTATTCATTATTCGTCTAGTGATTATTCTATTATTCTATAATCAGACTTTATTGAAAATATCAAAATAAATTTAAAAATGTATCTTTTTAACTTTCTTAGAAAAATATTTATTTCTAATGACAATCTAACATATGTAATTGAAGATTATGTAAACATATCAATAAATCTTCATAATCTCATGCTGAGTAATTATACTCTCTCTAAAAAGTAATATTATCCAACAAATAATCATTGTAAATCAAATGTATTATGATTCACTTCGTATTGCCGGTAGGATATCATAACCATTACGGATACTGATAGTGGCGTATCCAGGATTTTTCGGTATATTCGATTTCAACTTCACCGCATGGGACCCACGTGAAACTTATAGAGATATGACATCGGGTCCAAATGATGAGTTTTTATCAAAAGATTTTTGTAATGGGAGTTTGAAAAAAAATTAGCATTTTCCTGAGCCCCACCAAGATTTTTCTTTTTCTGTTGGTAGTATCTTGATTTTTAGAATTTAATAGTAAGCTACATCGAAATTCATCGACAGATTTCAAATTTCATCTAAAAATATGCATCCGATCACGAGTTACAATGTTTTGAATTTTTTCTAAAATTGTAGCAGCATGCAGCAAATTTCCAAATCATTATAATTCGTGAACGGATGCATATTTTTAAATGAAATTTGAAATCTGTCGATGGATTTCGATGTAGCTTACTACTAAATTCTAAAAATCAGGATACTACTAATAGAAAAAGAAAAATCTTGGTGGGGCTCAGGAAAATGCTAATTTTTTTCGCAAACTCCCATTACAAAAATCTTTTGATAAAAATTCATCATTTGAGCCCAACATCATATCTCTATAAGTTTCACGTGGGTCCCATGCTCTGAAGGTGAAATCCAGCATACCGAAAAATCCTGGATACGCCACTAACTACAACGAGCACGAAATCAAAAATACTTATGAAGACATTTAGAAAAGTTATTCTTTATGTAAGACGACATTTTTCTGAAGAAAAACTTTTTCAAGTTTCGGTATTTAGGTATGATAGATTTTGATCACATGTAGAAACAGGTAAAAAAAATAAGAAATTCAATATTGTATAGAGCAATCTTCACTCTACAAAATTCCCTAATGAAAATACTCATCAAGCAAGTACGACTTGCCAGCATGAGTACTCAAGTTACCCACTGGAGTACTCGAAAAATTTTGTGTAGTTATAATTTTTGTGTACTCGAGCGAGTCTTCATATGGGTTGTTTCACTACAATTTACTCGCAGACGACAGCATGAGTACTCAAAATAGTACTCATTCTTGTTTTGTGTCAGAAGATGGAACAAAACATTAACGCACTAGCATGCTCAAAAATAAAATAAAATTGTATAACTTCACTAGGGTTGCTTCCAAAAAGACTTTCTTACTTTTTGAATTGAATTAGTGTTGATAAAAATACAAAACTTAACCGCATGAAAGGTTCCATGTAGAAGTCATTGTTAGCATCCCTTAGAGGTTGGATTATCGATGCACTAACTTCAAATCAAAAAAAGATCGAAATAAATGCTTAGAAATAGCGTGAAATTCTGATTCTAACCGCTTCTTTTTGACTTCTTTCACTCATTTAAAAGTGAACGAAAATTGGACCGACATGTTACGCAAAGACTTTGTGCCCAGAGGTTAGTAATACATGAAATGCATAATAAAACCAATCGAAATGAGTCAGATAAAGATGATAAGACCGAATTATTAGTATAGAAATATCAGAATCCAATAACTGTGTCGGGAGAAGAAAATGGTTATTATTGATAGATGAATTCCTGCAAACAGTCATCAACAAAGCACACAGACGTTTCATAAAATATATCAATAGGCTTACGTTTTTTAATTAAAAATTTGAAAGTAATATACTATTTTTATTTGAAACTTGATGAATGTGAAGTTGCAAAAGGCCACTTGTAATCAATCTACCAACGACAAAATAAATGCCCATCGTATTTTTGTTATAACTCTTGATAGGAACAAGATGGAGAGTTGCAGTTTTCACCGTTGGAAAGAGGAGATAAAGACGCATCGAATCACATGTTACAGACATTTTAACCTGATTTTTGTAGGATTTTTAATTGAGCTTTTTGTAAAACAACGTTGTTGATCGATGACTACAGTGAATTTTCAATTATCTGATGTATATTGAAAGCTCCAATTGAAGATCTATAAAACTGTGCAAGGCTTAGATTCTTAGCTTCAATCGTTCAATAGTTATAGGTATTCTAGCCGAAACTATAAGCCGATTTTTCTAGCAATTCCTGTGAAAAAAGCACTTTTTTCTTTTTTTTTCTTTTTGATAAAAAATAGTTTTTTCGCTACCTTTTTTAGATAATTGGTTTAAAAAGTCTAGGAAAACATATTAAAAAAAAACTGTAATAAATGTTTCGATGCGTCTTCCTCTCCTCTTTCCAACGGTGAAAATCGCAGCTCTCAATCTTGTTGCTATCAAAAGTTATATCAAAAATACGATGGGCATTTATTTTGTCGTTGGTAGAATATTACAAAAATGAATAAACTCCTCCCTAGAATAAAAGGTCATGGCCTTCTATTATGAAATATCGTAACGCAATACATTTTTCCTTACCGCCTATTCAGGCTGGCCTTCTCATATTGGGTGGCCCTCTATTTTGAGAGAGGTTTACGAAATGTTATAGTGTAAAACATATGCTCATGGATTTAACAACAAAATATGTAGAAGATAACCTACTGATGATAGAAAGCTAATCTATTGGAAGAAAACCAGCATAAAATTTTATTCAAATCTTGTGTTTTAAAATGAATGCAAAATTCACAAGTTCAAGAGCTTAATTATGAATAATGGCTAAACTGTCGCAAAACATTATAAAGTGACTCAGAACTATGAAGAAACTGAAAAATGCATGTCATAACTTCTTCCGTATAATGCAGTTGAAAATCTGTCACTAATTTACAATAATTGTTTATCGCGTCACGAAAATTTAAAGCTATCCTAGTCTAACTTTTCCTTTACAGTTATGAACAATATTTATTCCTTTACTCTTTTCAGTTCCTTTACTCCATGTATTGTCTTTGGGCTAAAAGAACTCAGCACAGTTAAAGGATAAATATTATTTATAACCGTAAAAGAATAGCTAGGCCAGGATAAGTTTAATTTATTTTAAATTGTTTCAACAATAGCTACTACTATTGATATATCTAGAATATACAGGACAATTGAAAACGCAATGGCATACAGTTTAGCGACATCTTTTAAACAATTAAATGAGTCGTATGCGGATTCTATCCAATCTGTATCAAATATTCATGCCATTGTAAAACTATTTGGCACATGTCTTGTATGTATTGTTAATCAATACTTCGTATCCGAAATTTTAAATCAATGAGCTTAGTTTAATCAATTTTATGAAGTTCTTCATTTTTATCTCAGTAAGAGTGACAAAAAGCGAATCAAATAGTCACAAGCTACCTTACTTGTCAAGAGACTTCATTATTTTTCATGTCGTCCTAATAACTCCTCGATGAACTAAGAAAGAGAAAAGGCAACACTTTGGATCACAATAGTAATGCTTTGATTGTAAACCGTTTACCTTTTAACGGCATCTTTTCAGTTCTGATTAATGAATTCACTCTTCTTCGAAGTATAATATCGGTTTCGCTTCGCTCTAATACCGAGTTTTCTCTTTCATTGAAGACCAAGTATGTCCTGATTTAGAGAAAAATGAAATTACAGAAATTTTCAGAATTTTCATCAGTTCGATTATTAAATTGCAGTGAAAATCAAAAATTTTGAATAATATTGGACTTTCGGAAGTTATATCATTTTGGAGAGTATTGAACAATTTAAAATAAACAATACTTGAAATTACAGAATTTTTTTTAGAATGTTGAACACTGTTGGTGAATACCGAAATTTTTTCATTTTATATTCTTCGAATTTGGGATCCATGCTTATCAATTGATGAAGTTTCACTCATTTTATGAGAGATTTTCACTCATCTTCTGATTCTCCGTTCTTTCATTCTGTTCTTTACTCTTTACTGGTCAATCAGGACCTGTCGATTTGGCTTCTAATCTCTTTTATGATTTTCTGCTTTATGTATTCATTATCATGAAGCAGAGCAAATGATTTGTTCCACATAAAAAACAACCTTATTCATATGAACTTCAATCCATGTAAATTAGACAAAGATAGATCCTTTTTTCTATGGATGATCTGATGATTGTTCATTTTCTACATGAACTGAGTTCTATGTTTGTTTCGATTCTCTATTAGATTTTAGTTGATATATGAAATTGAAAATCGAATGCCAATGAACAATATTATATCTGATTCAGAAAATTATTCATTTCGTCTTGGTATTCCTGATGATTTGAGAAAAGAATATCCTATTATTAATATGGCTTTACTTGCCTTGACAAAAATTTTACAAAATGATCATCTACAAAAAAATTTTTATCCTCATTTTATTCCTATTGATCAATATCAATATGATTATCCGGTATAGTAGATATGATTAAAGTCGACTAGATTTCTTGATTTCTTGTTTGTCATTTAGAAACAAGTACCTGAATCAATACGAGCTCAAATCAAACAAGTATTCACTGATGAAAATTTACCAAGAGTAATTTTTCAAGATGATAGTCAGCTGTTTGCGATCAATGATTGTTCTGTTTATGGGCTTTACAATGGACGATTATTAGAACAAGATGAAAATATAATTTATGTGAATAAGGAAGTAAGGCCGATGTTTTAGCAAGACTAAACATATAAAGTCATGTATTATTGATTTAATTAAGATTTGACAATTATTAATTCTTTGAGTGCAGTTTATGCGAATTCGTATTCTCCGAATAGCTTCTATAGAAGTGATCAAATGTTTATTCAACAAAATGTAATGCATAAATATTCGTACGTTTGAGATTAGTTACATTTACTGTTGAGGATTCATTGTCCCTTAAGAGTTGAAGCAATCATCATATGGTTTCATGAGTTTGAATATTAGTCAGTTTGATAATATTTATTGGAAAAGAACTAGAGAATTAAAATAATGTCTCGTCGAACGGAAATGGTTTGAGAGTATTATCGATTTAAAAACTTTTAATAGAGTGATCGCCTTATTTTGACGTATAAAGTCTTAGGGATTACCAGGGACAATGCGTCAGCACTAATAGGAAAAGCAATAGAGAATTCATTGCTTCTTCTAACTATCCTCATTTTGTTGTTATTAATATATAATAGAATATAGGTACAAGTGTCACATTGTTATTTAATATGAGCGCCAGCGGCACACTAGCAAAGTAGTAAATAAAACGACTTTCTATAAAAAATTTATGTTGTGCCGCCTATGGGGATTACAAATTGACTATTTACAACTCGTACATGTCTTTTTTTGTCTATATTGAGTTCCTGTTTTTGACTCATAAGGTGTGATTGTCTTCGGCCAATGATTCAAAAACACACAGCAAATAATGAGTTCACAATCTGATAATCAGTCTAAAGACTATTTAAGAAATTTATAAAATTTTTAGCTTTGAAAATAATCCCTTACTCAAAGAGTTAAATATCAGAGTTAGTCAAAAAAATATAAGTTTTTGAGCAAGAGATATAAATGTTACGCTTGACAATAGTTGGGTTAGATAAGCTCCGATCAATACCTCGACAGTAGTGGATGCCTGGAGTTGGTTCACAAAAAGAAAGATTTAAGTCAAAAAAAAACAATAGGTTTGTTTTTGATTGGTGGTAAAAAGGTCAAAGGAACGAATGTTGAAAAAAACTAACGACGAACAATTGTTGACAAATGTTTTATAGAATTCTAACTATCTTTTAAAATGCTTTATTAAATTGAATAATACTCACACTCCAACAGAAATCAACAGAGGGGAAAAGAATAAAACTATGGGGTCTTTGTTTTCATTTAGCAACTGTAAATAAGTCCGCACTAAATTAAATGCCCATATGATGAATTGTGATTAAGTTAGGACTTTTGAAGGGGCAGCAGCTGCAGCCATGACCATAGAATTTCAATTGTATGATTGTTCTTCATTGGATTCTTTTAGTTAAACTATATCAGATACTGATCATTCCTATTATTATTGGTTACAAATCTAAACTAGTAGAATCAAAAGGAAAGCCACAATGTACTATAGGTACTTATATGTCACCATTTATTGAGGATATCACTTTTTTCGATATTTTCTCTTAGACATTCTTCCAGCACATCTGTCTTTTTTATTTAGATATTAGAGTGTTCCAAGTTTGGCAGAAAATATGGATCAACAAGTAAAATATGCTGCCCTGATTTTATTTACGATACTTCATGAGCTTGGCCATTGGACTTTTTATAAGTTCAGTTGTAATCTTGATGAAGGAAAACATACTCCTTGTGGTAAATTGAGGCGAAGTTTTTACATTGTATTTGTTCTTATTTCTTGTATTCTACTAGGTATTTTAATGGAAGAATCTGGAGACGCCATTGAACATTTGTTGTTCGGATTCAGAATACAACACTATGGTACTGCTCATCCAAAATTTCAGGTATGTGTATTAAGCCGCTTTCTCCTTTTAATAGATGTGCCACGTAGTATATTCAATTTGGGTTGAATTTCCAGGAATAAGTCGCATTAATGAGAAATGCTTCTGGTAAATATTTCAGCTATATAGGTTCAACTAGACCGAGATCCTATTGCATTTGTAGTCCATAATGACCTTCATGAGAATCTGTATAACTTTGTCATAACAAAGGGTACAGAGCTCGGAGCAGTTTCAAATTAAAATCAATCCCTGTGCGCAGTTGTCATTCGAAAAAATTTGAAACTCGCTTCCATTTAATCATTATGATCCGTTTAATACATATAGTCCTAAAATAGGCAAAAAATATGACTTCATGAGACTAAACGTAGCCTTTCTCAACAAAAAATTATTTATAAAAAATATGATCAGACAAAAGTTTACTGTAATTTGAGCCTTTAAAACAAAAGAAAGATATTAAATATATTGAACTGGATCGGAGAAGTTTCGACTTTTTTGATTGAAAGCCACATTTTGAGAAAGTGATAAGCAGAGATATGGATTTTTTCATTCAAATCCAGAAAAAAAATTATTGACATAACACATTCAATAATATATTGGCATAGAAAGTTTTGAATGCACGTAAAAGATGGCATAGCGTAGCGTCATTTGTTTCTCTTGAATTATGTATAACAATGTTTAATGAATATTGAAGCTAATAGAAAGGCAAAATTAGTCACAATTGAGAAAATGTCAGAAATTCTCGGAGAATGCGCTATCAAGATTCGGAGCTTCTAGTGGAAGTTTGTTCAGATTTGACCGTTTTGTGAAGAAACAATATATATAGAAACATGTCAAGAGAGAAAGTTTTACTCCATCTTCCTATGGTAAAACCTTAACTTTGATATTTTCTTTAAAAATTCGATTTTCTAGGAAGGTCTTCAACTGAAGTTATCCTATGATAATACATCATATTTTCTCTTGTTACTTCTAGATTGATGACATTATAATGAAAACAAGCGATATGAAACAATATCGAATTGTTCCCAGCAAATATCTATATAGTCTATTTCAAGCTCAAACATACGAAAGTGATATATTTAAAAATATAATCTGAATATGATATATTCTATATTTGAACTTTTTAGATGTAACTGATTTATCATCACTTAGAATCCCCAAAAACGTGTCATTTTCTTGTCTCGTGCTCGATGAAGAACTAATGAAGTTTCAAGGAAAACGAGTATTTGATCCAGTAGATGAACTTCAATTAATTTCAACATCAAAAAGTGTCACAATAGCATTAGATAAACGAGTATTTGAATCGTGCGATAAACTATTTTGTGGTAAAGTACAAAATGAACGTTCAAAAACATAATCGAAAACGTAAAGATTTTTTCTCAAACTCATTTTTATCTAATCATGCAATAGAAATTTGGAAAAAAATCAATTTAAAATAGCACGATTTTAATTCGGCTAACATCAGACCATCCTAGTGAAAAATATTCACTGATTTCAATCGGATTTTTCTGCAACAAAAT